TACACAAGTGTTTCAAGCTACATATATTTATACCAAAGTGATTTGTGCACGTATTCTTGTATGGTATTCTTTAATAAAAAGTTTACTTTTTAAAAAAGCAAATACCCTAGTGGAGGGCCCTTTTTCTTTTTCCATTTCCTGTTTTCTCCTGTGTCAGCCCAGAGAGCTTTCCTGGAAACTGGGTGAAGGAGGAGGCTGGGCCTGGGTTCCTGGCCAAAGACAGAAAAAAACAGGCCCCAAGGCCTGGGCCCATTTTGAGCACCAAGCCTTGTGTGGAACCCTCATGGGCGTGGTCTCCTGGCTGCCTTGGTTACGCGCGCACGCACGCACACACACACACACACACTCTCCTCTGCAGCACTGTGATAATGTGGAATGAGGCTAGGTGAGGCTAGGTGACTTGCTCCAAGTTGCACAACTTTGTAAGTGACTGGGGCAGGATTTGAAGCCAAGTTGTATTGGCTCTAATGTGGGGAGGAGGCAAGAGAATTTAAAATGTTAATTAAGCGACTGCAACATGCTGATCAGCCCTGCAGCCAGGCCAGGAGGACGCCTGCAGAACAAAGGGAGATTTCTGCTGGGATTGCTAACAGTCCATTGCCCACACCTGGGGAGGGGAAACAGGAACCGACGGAGTCATCCCCTATGGCTAAAACCGTGGGGAACCTATGGATTAAAGGCTGGGAACTGCCAGCAGGCCTTTCACTCTACATATTTTTACCTTTTCCCACTACACACTATTCCCCTTCCTCACTGTATGCCCATAACAAAGGAAATGGGCTAACAAAGTCTTTTAAACTATAACTCACAGCAAGTAAACGATGATATATAAACTGATTATCCCCCCCCCCCCCCCCGCCCCCGCAACACTCAGGGTCCCTCTCAGTGCCTTTACTGTCTCTCTTATTGTCCTTGTCTCTACTGTCTCTGTCCCTCTGAGTCCCTCTCGGTGCCTTTACCCTGCCCCCCCTACTCACTGTCTTTCCACGTTTCTCTTGGTCCCTCTCACTCTCGCCGCTGAGAGGAGACCACACGTTGTCTACGGAGTGTGACCCCTTTTCTAATAAACTTTTGTTTTGACTCTAACGTTGGCGTGCGTGTTGAATTTTTTCTGCCCCCTCTGCCAAAGGACCCTCCTCTTCTTTCGGTGCAGAGTTTGGTCTCCCCCCACCAACTCTGGGAAATCTGCCCTGTCCTGCATCAGCTCCAGAGCCCAGGCTCTTAACCCCTTTGCTCCTGTGTGATCCGGAAGGAGCAAGAGACACAAGCGATGCTGACTATGGCTCCCAGCCCTTATCTGTATGCCTCTGATTCTAAGTTTCAAAGTCGGGGCTAGCTGGTCAGTGAGCTGGCTCCCGCTCTGACACTTTGCCAAGGCTTCCTGCCTCTGCCTCACCCTGGCTGGGACAAAGTCATTTCTACACATTTTATGACACCAAAGACATCTTTCTGGCCATGCCTGATGTGCCCCTCTTCTTCTGGATGAGGTCAAAGGCCTGTGTAGTGACCTGGGGATCGGCCATAGACCAAGGTCTCTGAAACTGAGAAGTAGGGAGTTGAGTCAAACAAAAGAAAAGCATCCAAACAACTTACAGTAGAGGCCAAAGGGGGCTCCTGGGGGACTGGGAGGAAAACCGGAAAGTGGACGTTAGTAACGACCTTCTTTGCTTTGTTCTTCTAACGAGGTGAAGCAGAGACCGACCTTCATTCAATTCCCCAAAAGGGCTCATTCCGCCCCCCGGGCCTCTGCGTGAGCTCTCTCCTCTCCCAAATCTACTCTTCCCTGGGTCTTTGCTTAGGGGCTCAGCTTGTGGGTGAGTTTGGACTATGAGTCTGACTCACCTGGATTTGAATCCTACTCAATCTTCAAATCTCAGCTTAGACCTCACTTGCTCCGGCTTTTCACACCCACTGGAAATCTGGGTACCTTGCCCTTCCTTCTTATACCACTTATCCCACTGTAATCCTTCAGACCGGAAGCTCCTTGGAGCTGGCATGCCAGCCTTGCGGCTCACTGCTGCAGGGCCAAGCACGGAGCAGGTGCTCCACAAACGTTTGTTGAAAGAATAGAGAGAAGGGCTCTGGCAGCCACTGGATAGTGTTCCACCTCACAGGGCTGATCCCTTTTCTATGACAGGCAAATAGCCGCTTGCCTGTGAGCCCGAGTTTCTTTATCTGATTTTTTTAGCAGTTTCCTTTTGGAGGAAGAAGAGGCCAGGCCCTCCTTCTTTATGGTTGAAGCTTAATACTTTGGGTGGATCTGACTGTATCATTCTTAAGTCTAAATGCATAGTGCTACAAAGATGCTAGGCAGGGGGCAGCATCCGCATGGAGACACTGCAGGCTGTCAGAAGAGGTGGCTCCAGAAAAGGGGAGGGAGCGGGTGGCCTCTGGGCTTTCAGCTGCTCTGAGACCCTTTCTGTTTGTAGCTGTCTAGAGTAGCAGAGGCATATTCTCATTGCTTCCCGGAGGAGAAATGTCTGCCTCTAAAAGAGAGTTTCTCAACCTCAGCGCCATTGACATTTGGTGGGGTGTGTGTATGTGTGTGTCGTGGGGGGAGGGGGTTGTCCTCTGCATAGAAGGGTGTTTAACAGTGTAATGGGTTGACTAGTGTCCCTGCCAAATTCATGTCCACCTGGAACCTCGGAATGTGACCTTGTTTGAAATAAGGATCTTTGCAGATGTAATTGCTTAAGGATCTTGAAATGAAATCATCTTGGATTTAGGGTTGGCCTTGAATCCAGTGACTGCTGAGAGGACAAATAAAGACACAAGGAAAAAGGCCATGCGAAGATGGAGATTGGAGTGAAAGGGCTTCAAGTCAAGAAGTGCCCAGTATTGCCAGAAGCCACTGGAAGCTGGGAAGGATTCTCCCCTAGAGCCTTCCGAGGCAGCATGGCGTTCGTTGCCAATGCTTGATTTTGGACTTCTAGCCTCCAAAATTGTGAGACGATAGATTTCTGTGTTTTTAAGCCACTCGTTTGTGGTCCCTTGTTACAGCAGTGCTGGGAAACTAATACAAGTGTCATCTCTGGCTTCTGCCCTCTAGATGACAAACGCACCTCCTCAGTTATAGCAAATGAAAAGTGTCTCCAGGTATTTTCAAATGTCCCCTGGGAGGGCAAAATAGTCCCCCAACCCCACTCCCCAATCACTGCTCTAATGGGCTGGATATGATGAGAGGGCAGAGCAGAGCGAGATGAACCTGGGTTTGAATCTCAGCCCCACCCAGAAGAGCTACGTGACCTTGGGAAAGTTGCTAAACTCTGAAGCTCAGTTTCCTCATGAGTAAAATGGCGGTTGAGAAGGTACCCGTATCTCACAGAACCATCAGGCAGATGCAATGAGATAATGTGTGGAACGTGCTTAGCATGGTGTCTGACACAGTGCTAGCACTCAATAAATAGTAACTGAAATAGTAATTGTTACTAGTGTTTTTATCAAGCAATAATATCACCTAATTGGTAATAAATATACTAAGAAGTAACAATGGCAATTATCATCATGATTATTTAAAGCCTGCAAGCCGGGTCAGTTTTTCACATAATAACCTACTATGGACTGCTGCCAAACCGAGGGGCCAAGAGCTGTTTTCTCAAAAGGCATGAAATTTCCTGCTGCAGATTGCATGCATGGTCTCTTTCCAAAACCCTAGGTCCTACATTGTGATTCTCCCACTAGATCTTCCTTAAAGCTTCACACTGCATCT